CTACTGCAAGGCGTGTAGTAGTACAAATGGCAAAAATGAAAGACAAAGAAAGAATACTCAGGGCTGTAAGACAGAAGAAAATAACCTACAAAGGAACTCATATCAGACAGCGGATTTCTCTACAGAAACCTTACAAGCTAGGAGAGAATGGAGTGACATATTCAAAACTTTAAAAGATAAAAACCTTCAGCCAAGAATACTCTATCCAGCAAAAATATCCTTCAGATATGAAGGAGAAATTAAATCTTTTCCAGACAAACAAAAGTTAAGGGAATTTGTAACCAAAAGTCCTCCATCACAAGAAATCCTCAAGAAGGCTCTCATACCTGAAAAAAGAAAAAAAGGGAGAAAGGGGTCACAAACCACAGAGTAGGGAGATAGATAGATAGAACCAGAATAAGATAGCAAATATTCAATTATAGCATTAGGATAAAGGTAAGGAAACCACCAAAGCAAAGACAATCTTATCAGTCTAACTATAAACTCATAACACGAGTTGGAATAAGAAATGAAAATAATAATTTAGGAGGGGAAGAGCAAAGGGACTAAATCAGTCTAGGCCAAGTAAGTAAGAGACCACAGAGAATAGACTGTATTATACATGAGATTCTAAATACAAACTTCAGGGTAGCCACTAAACTAAACAACAGAACAGAGCCACAAAACATAAATAAGGAAAAATCTAAGAAACCCAGCATAAGAAATTGCAGTAGTCAATGGGTAGGCTGAAACACACAGAACAAGAAACAAAGGTAATGCAGGAAAACCAGATAACGAGGGACAGATTGACAGCATTGAGTCCACATGCATCAATAATCACCCTCAATGTAAACGGATTGAACTTTCCAATAAAAAGACAGAGTGGCAAAATGGATTAAAGAACAAGATCCAACAATTTGTTGCCTCCAGGAAACACACCTGAGCCCCAAGGACAAACACAGGCTCAGAGTGAAGGGGTGGAAGACAATACTTCAAGCTAATAGCAAGCAAAAGAAAGCAGGTGTTGCAATACTTATATCAGACAAAATGGATTTGAAAATAAGGCAGGTAAAGAGAGACACAGAGGGCCAATATATAATGATCAAAGGGACACTTCATCAAGAAGAAATAACGCTTATAAATATCTATGCACCCAACACAGGAGCACCAAAGTTCATAAAACAACTATTAACAGACCTAAAGGAAGATGTTAAAAACAGCACAATAATAGTAGGGGACCTCAACACCCCACTCACATGAATGGACAGATCATCCAGACAGAAAATCAACAAGGAAATAGTGGAGCTAAATGAAAACTAAAACAATTGGACTTAATAGACATATATAGAACTCTGCATCCTAAAACAGCAGAATACACATTCTTCTCAAGTGCACATGGAACATTCCCAAGGATAGACCATATGTTGGGAAACAAGGCAAGCCTCTACAAATTTAAAAAAATTGAAATAATAAGCATCTTCTCTGATCATAATGCTATAAGGCTAGAAATTAATTACAAGAAAAAAGATGAGAAAGGCACAAGGATGTGGAGACTAAACAGTACGCTACTGAACAAGCAATGGATCATTGAAGGAATTAAAGAAGAAATAAAAAAATACTTGGAGACAAATGAAAATGATAACATGCCATACCAACTCAAATGGAAAACAGCAAAAGGTGTATTAAGGGGAAAATTCATCACAATACAGACACATCTTAACAAACAAGAAAAATCCCAAATAAGCAATCTTAACTATACCTAACTGAATTAGAGAAAGAAGAACAAACAAAGCCCAAAGTCAGCAGAAGGGGAGAAATAATAAAAATCAGAGCAGAAATAAATGCTATTGAAATGAAAAAGGCGGTAGAAAGGATCAGTGAAACAAAGAGCTGGTTATTTGAGAAGATAAATAAAATTGACAAACCCCTAGCCAGACTTACAAAGAAAAAAAGGGAGAAAGCTCAAATAAACAAAATCAGAAATGAAAGAGGAGAAATAATAACAGACTCTGCAGAAATACAATGGATTATAAGAGAATACTATGAAAAATTATATGCCAACAAAATGGATAACCTAAAGGAATTGGATAAGTTCTTGGACTCCTATAATCTCCCAAAGCTCACTCAAGAAGAAGCAGACAATTTCAACAGACCAATCACAAGGAAAGAGATTGAAACAGCAATCAAAAACATCCCAAAGAATAAAACCCCAGGACCAGATGGCTTTCCTGGGGAATTCTACCAAACTTTCAGAGAGGATTTAATACCTATCCTTTTCAAGCTATTCCAAAAAATTAGGGAGGATGGAACACTTCCTAACACATTCTATGAGGCCAACATCATGCTGATACCAAAGCCTGACAAGGACACTATGAAAAAAGAGAACTGCAGGCCACTATCACTGATGAACATAGATGCAAAAATTCTGAACAAAATTTTGGCAACCAGAATTCAGCAATTCATCAAAAGAATCATACGTCATGATCAAGTGGGATTCATACCAGGGACACGGGGATGGTTCAACATCTGCAAATCAATCAACGTGATACACCACATCAACAAACTGAGGAACAAAAACCACATGATCATGTCAATAGATGCAGAGAAAGCATTTGACAAGATCCAGCAGCCATTTATGATAAAAACTCTGAACAAAATGGGCATAGAAGGGAACTACCTCAACATAATAAAGGCCATATATGACAAACCCACAGCTAACATCATACTCAATGGGCAAAAACTGAGCACCATCCCCCTGAAAACAGGAATGAGACAAGGATGCCCTCTATCACCACTCTTATTTAACATAGTACTGGAGGTCCTGGCCAGAGCAATCAGGCAAGAAAAAGGAATAAAAGGAATCCAAATAGGGAGGGAAGAAGTGAAACTCGCTGTTTGCAGAAGACATGATCTTAGATATAGAAAACCCCAAAGAATCCATTGGAAAACTCTTAGAAGTAATCAACAACTACAGCAAAGTTGCAGGGTGTAAAACCAATTTGCATAAATCAGTAGTATTTCTATATTCTAATAACAAGCTAACAGAAAAAGAACTCAAGAACACAATATCATTCACAGTCGCAACAAAAAGAATGAGATACCTCAGGGTAAATTTAACTAAGGAAGTGAAGGACCTATACGATGAAAATTACAAGGCCTTTGTGAGAGAATTGGATGACGACATAAGGAGATGGAAAGACATTCCATGTGCATGGATTGGAAGAATAAACATAGTTAAAATGTCTGTTCTACCTAAAGCAATCTACAGATTCAACACTATCCCAATCAGAATCCCAATGACATTCTTTACAGAATTAGAACAAAGAATTCTAAGATTCATATGAGGCAACAAAAGACCCCGAATTGAAAGCAATCCTAAGAAAAAGGAACAAAACGGGAGGCATCACAATCCCTGACTTCAAAACATACTACAAAGCTACAGTAATCAAAACAGCATGGTACTGGTACAAAAAGAGGTGCACAGATCAATGGAACAGAATTGAAAGCCCAGAAATAAAACCACACATCTGTGGACAGCTTGTCTTTGACAAAGGAACTGAGGGCATACAATGGAGAAAAGAAAGTGTTTTCAACAAATGGTGCTGGGAAAACTGGAAAGCCATATGTAAAAGAATAAAAATTGACCATTCTTTTTCACCATTCACCAAAATAAACTCAAAATGGATCAAAGACCTAAAGCTGAGACCTGAAACCATAAGGCTTCTAGAAGAAAATGTGGGCAGTACACTCTTTGACATCAGTATTAAAAGGATCTTTTCGGACACCATGTCTTCTCAGAGAAGGGAAACAATAGAAAGAATAAACAAATGGGACTTCATCAGACTAAAGAGCTTCTTCAAGGCAAATGAGAACAGGATTGAAACAAAAAACAGCCCACTAACTGGGAAAAAATATTTGCAAGTCATATATCTGACAAAGGCTTAATATCCGTAGTATATAAAGAACTCACACAACTCAACAACAAAAAATCAAATAACCTGATCAAAAAATGGACTGGAGACATGCACAGACATTTCTCCAAAGAAGATATACGGATGGCCAATAGGCACATGAAAAGATGCTCATCATCGCTGATCATCAGGGAAATGAAAGTCAAAACTACACTAAGATATCACCTTACACCCGTTAGAATGACAAAAATATCTAAAACTAATAGTAACAAATATTGGAGAGGTTGTGGAGAAAAAGGAACCCTAATACACTGCTGGTGGGAATGCAAACTGGTGCAGCCACTATGGAAAACAGTATGGAGATTCCTCAAAAAATTAAAAATAGAACTACCATACAACCCAGCTATCCCACTACTGGGTATCTATCCAAAGAGCTTGAAGTCAGCAATTCCAAAAGTCCCATGCACCCCAATGTTTATTGCAGCATTATTTACAATAGGCAAGACACGGAAGCAACCTAAGTGCCCATCAACAGATGAATGGATAAAGAAGATGTGGTACATATACACAATGGAATACTACTCAGCTGTAAAACAGAACAAAATCATTCCATTTGCAATAACATGGAAGGACCTTGAGGGAATTATGTTAAGTGAAATAAGCCAGTTAGAGAAGGACAATCTCTGTATGACTCATATGAGGAATTTAAAAATGTAGACAAAGAGATCAGATTAGTGGCTACCAGGGGAAAGGTGGGGTGGGGGGTGGGCACAAAGGGTGAAGTGGTGCACCTACAACATGACTGACAAACAATAATGTAAAAGTGAAATTTCACAAGATTGTAACGTATCATTAACTCAATAAAAAAAAACTAAAAATCAAAGTAAAAAAATTAAAATAAAGGGAAGAAAAGTTGAATAAAAATAATTAAAATTAATCACAAATTCAAGATAAAATAGCCTTTAAAAACTAAATGACATGATAAAATTAAAAATAACTTAGAAAAATAAAATGTAAAATAAAAGAAAAATACATTTGTAAGGTGAATTTAAATAAATTACATTAAAATTAAAAAACAAAACACAATTTTAAGTAAAAATAAAATATTTAAAAATAAAAAATAAAAAAATAATTAAAAAAAAAAGAAATAACAATTTGGTCCCAGTCTTCACTGTCAGTGGCTGCTGAGGGTCCCCTGCCCTGGTGAGCGAGAGGCAGAGGAGGGAATGGCCCCGTCCTCACCCCGTTACGGGATTCCAGTCCCCTTCTGCCTGGTAGTGTCCACTTCTTACAGTTTTCAAGGACATGCTTTCTGTGCTCTGAGCAGGGTGCCATTTGTCATCTGAGACAGAGAGGTTGTGTGGGGCTTTCTCCATGTTGGCTCAACCAGAAGTCTACTGTCGCTTTAAAATAAACGTATTCGTGTTGTCCCATATGGTGACATCTCCTTCTCTTTTCAGGCCAAATAGCATTCCACGGCGTGTAGACCCCACCTTTTCCTTATCCAGTCTCCTGTCAACGAGAGTTAAGCTGTCTCTGTGTCTTGGCTTTTGTGAAGGATGCTGCAGTCACATGGGGCAGAGATCTCTCCGAGAGGCTCCTTTTGATTTTTTGGACATGTACCCACAAGTGGGGTTGCTGGGTCGTGCTAAGTGAAATGGACCAGTCACCGAAGGACCAGTACTGTGTGATTCCGCTCAGGTGAGGGCTGCAAAATAGTTAAACTCACTGTGGTTGATGACACTGCACTGTGCAATTGAAATTTGCCAAGACAGCAGAACTTCAATGTTCTCACCAAAAAAATAGTAATAACGTGAGGTGATGGACGTGTTAATTAACTTGATGGGGGAATCCTCACACCAGGTATCAGATCATCAAGTTGTAAATTGCTAACAGTTTTATTTGTCGATTACACTCCAACAAAGTGGAAAGAAAGGATCTCCCCCCAAAAAAAGGAAGAAGAAGAAAAATGTCAAACTCACAGAAACAGCAGAATGGAGACTGCTGGGCCTGGGGGGAGGGGCCCGCGGAGTTTCTGTTCAAGAGGCGGAGGTGGCAGTCGCGTGAGATGGATGAGTTCTCGAGAGCTGCCCACAGTGCTGTGCCTGTAGGTCACAGGACTGCGTTTTGCACTAAAATATTTGCTAAGAGGGGCGACCACGTGTTAAGTGCTGTCACCACAGTAAAAAAAATTACACAATTTCTGGTGATCACAAAATGCTTAGTGTATCTAACTGAAGGAGTCATACAGCAAATATAAAACTCTAGAACTAGGTAATTTCCAAGAAATAAGAACTTGAATTGTTTGACAATGAAAGAATATCTCACTAAATGTGTGCTCTGAAAAAGATGTACAATATCTATAAATGCATATGAAAATGTTTCATAGTTTCTATTTTTATGATCATAGTGCATTACAGTGTGTTAGTGCTTGTCTGTGAATACTAAGGTTACTTTGTCATTTTGTATATTTTTCTTTTTGTGACTAAAGGCCTGACTTGGGTAATTTAAAAAGTCATGAAGCACTTTTAGCCTTTGATCTGCCACGAATTCCTCCTTAGCCTTAGGGGTTGGATTCCTGACCCAAGGAAACAGAATAGTAGATAAAGAAAGAGTGTCAGATGGTGGCAGTGATGATGGACACAGGAGCTGTCCTTGCCAGAGTTACGCTGGTCCTGGAACACTCTCAGTGGCTGTGTGAGCCTAGGCAGTCACTGCACCTCTCTGAGCCTGTCTCCTTCATGAGACTAATAATCCAGCAGAGCCAGAAACCCAAGGACCTGGTGTCAGAGGGACGTGGGCCCCACTGCTGACCTAACGTGCGGCCCAGAGCTGATGCTTGGCTGTACCCTGGCACAGAGCCCTCCACTGCCCTGGCATCCTGAGCACTGGGGACTGGGGGACAGTGGAGGCCGTGCCCTTAGCTGACACAGAGGAGATGGAGCAGAACATGAGAGATGTGCCTCTGAGCCCACAGGACCCGGAGACCCAGCACCCGGGGAGGCCTGGGGTACAGAGGGGCCTCCTCCTCCCTGAGCATTCGGGGCCCAGGCACTCGGGGGTCCTGGGTCATAGTGAGGGGACCTCACTGACCTCCCTGCTGGGGACACCACACATGCAGCTCACCTTCGTGGCTTCTCTGCCAACCTTTGTACCGCCTTTAAAACTCTGTCTTCCAAACGTCATGGTGACACTTTGTCAGTTTCCTTCTCCTCTGCTAGGGGCTGCTCTGCACCTGCCAGCACGGCTCCCGTCTCTGATTCCGAGAGTCCTGGTGTGGACAAGACAGAGAGGTCATCTGGTCAGTCCTTCTCACTTTCCCGAAGGTGAGTGGAGACTGGAGTGTTAACCAGGCTCATTGACATCATGGTGATGATATTAACTCCCACAGCTGTGACTTGTGGAGCACTTCATGTGTGCCAGTTTCTTTATACAGATCAGCTCTTGAAACCCCACAGGCCCCTGGGACATTAGTTCCCATCCTCCACACAAGGAAATCGAGTCTCATAGAGGTGATATGACCTGCCCAGAGTCACACAGCACAGAAGTGGACGAGATGTAATTTGAACCAGGTTCCTGGATTCCAAATGCCAGAGATATGACCGCCACACTGTCGCACTGCCCAAGGCAGGTACTGTTTATTGAGTCCTACTATGTGCTTGGGACTGGGCGAGGCTGGGAGATACAGAGATGAGAAGGCAGACCATTCTGTGGTGTTTTTCATCTGTCCTCTCCCCTGGGAACCTGGGAGCCATGTATCCCCAACACCTCGCACAGAGCTTGGCCCACCGCAGGGCTTCAGTGAATGTTGGCTGAAGAATGAATGAACTGCTGCAAATGATAGAAGAATAAGCATGTAAGTCCTCTGACTCTTTTTTATTCCATAAAAGGGAAGCTAGAGGGCAGAGGATGTCCCGTGACCTTGTGCTTCTCCCATCAAGGCGTCCATCAGCGGCCCCCATCCTTGGTGTGTGGGCTCACCCACACTGGGCCATCCCAAAGGTCCCCCTGGCTCTACACAACTGCAGTTCTGTGGGATGGTGGCTGAGGGGATCTGCTCTTTCATTCCCACAGATTTTGTGATTTCTCTGGGGTCTGTCCCCTTGACACTGTGTTCCCAGCACCTGGCACCATGCCTGGTAGTGGCTCCGTAGGGAGACCAACTGGACCCGGACTCAGGCTTGGACTCCTGCCGAGTGGGTGTTTCTGCACAGCCACAGCACTTCTTGAAGCCTCAGTGTCCTCATCTGCTCAGTGGGGATAATAATTGCATCTCCTTCAGAGGATCAGGGAGATCGCCCAAGTGAACGCCTGTGTGACAGCACAGGGCCCTCCCAGGAAAAGGCGTCCACTACTGAGCAGGTATTGTTATTAGTTCCATCACATGGTGTTATTACTAGCCTGTCTTTAAAAAGCATTTTAAAAGCAACACATAGGAGGGAATAACTAACCAAGTTAGGAAATCAGGAAAAGCTTCCGGGTGGAGGTGGTGTTGGTACCATACAAGTACCATAAATTGCAGAAAAATCACAAAATAGAGATAGCATTAGAGAGAAACATCACTCAAGTATCAGCATGAGTCAGTTCAGGACACAGGATAGCACGTTGTTTTAACAGGGAGGTTTCACATAAAGCATGGGTCAGCTCTGCTGGGAGAGTAACTCTGAGACTGTAGGATCACACTTGCCTGGCACTGGCCTGCATGGCCTGTAAGAGCCTGGTGTCCTTCAGGCCCCCTTCTGGGCAGGACGCCAACCATCTGGGATTTGTAACCATCCAGGGCCTGGCCAACCCGGATCTTAACTTATTTCACTCAAAGAATATCACGTCTTGAAGGAACACAGCAGTGTGAGCTGCTGTTCCTGGGAACACTGGCTGTGAGGACGGTCCCTCTTGGTGAGCATGTAGCCGTTAGTCCCCTGCCTATATAAGCAATCCCCTCTGCCCGCAGTAGCAGGTGCACAGCTCCAGCCGCTCCTGGATGCTCTCTGTACTTAAGTCCTGGTAAACCTGTATGTCTCATATTCTGTCTCCGGCTCTTTTCTTCAGTCTCTCTTCTACCTATCCTGCACCGCTTGGGCAACTGGGTGTGCGGCCAGAGATGTAAGGAGAACTCTGAAGGGTCCCTGGGCCCAGGGAGGGAACCCCAGGAAGGAAACACTTGTAGGGGCCCCTCCCCAAGGACGGACTTCAGCCCTCCCAGGAGAGGGTGTGGTTGCAGAGAAGGTCTGCAGGTTCCCGGGCCAGACCTGGTGCACAGTCTCTGGGCTGCAGGCGGCACCCCTGCAGGGAGCAGGTGAGGTGCAGCTGATGCGGGGTGCACAGGAGGGGCTGGGGCGCCACTGTGGATGGGAGGCCTGGAGCCTGTGGTGTTGTTGGGAGGGCTGGGGCGGTGTCACCAGGCCATGTGGGGGCTGTGAGGTTGCCCAGGGACCATGCATTCTGTGTGTGGGGCTGGGGCAGAGCCAGCTGGGAAGAGAGTGGCCTGTCTGCAGATGTGGCCCCTGGGGTTGAGGGTGTCTGCAGTCACAGAGCCTTTCCATGCAGGGTCTCACGAACCTGTGCCCTGATCTGCACCTGCAGTGACTCCACCTGATCCTGCCCCCCACACACCTGGAACTCGCCCTTGGCTCCCAGGTGTGTTGAATCAAATCCAGACTCCTTCCTGGGTCTGTGGGGTCCCGGCCCACCTCCCTATCTGACCTCCTCTCCCACGGCCGCCCCTCTTCACTCAGGCGCCTTTTGCTTTCCTCCTTTGAGACTTGTCCTTTCTCACCTCAGGGCCTGTGCCCTCCCTGCTCCCCCTCCTGGCAGCTCTCCCCATCTCCAGCCGGATCACGAGTTCCTCCTTTGCCGTCCCCTGCACCTCAGATTCCTGGGCTCAGCTCCCTCGCAGCACCACCCTCCCTCAGAACCCACGTCCAGCCGCCGCTCCACACCGAGCTGCTCAAGTCTTTGCCTAATGCCTGGACCCCCACTCACTGTAGACCCAGAGGAGGGACCAAGGCTGTCTTGCTCACTGCTGGGTCCCCAGTCCCGACGCCAGCACTGTCACAAACAGATGCTCGAGAAAGATGCTTTAACTTCATCTTCTTTCAAATAAACTCTTTGTTTTGGAGTAACTTTAGAATTATGGAAAAGTTGCAAAGACAGTACAAGGAGCTTCTGTGTCCCCTCACCCAGTCTCTGTTATGAGCACCTCATGTCATCATATACATTTGTCACAACTCAGAGACTCGCGTGGGTCCTTTTCCATCAGCTCAACTCCAGACCTCATTGTACCAGCTGTTCCATTAATATCCTTTTCCTTTGCAGGATCCAGCCCAGGGCGCCACACTGTTTAGTTGTCATGCCACCGCGGGTCCTCTGGTCTGGACAGTTTCTCCTTCCTTCCTTGTTTTTCCTCACCTCGACAGTTTTGAAGGGTACTGGGTCAGGTGTTTTGTAGAATGTGCTTCAGTGTGAGTTTGTCTGACGTTCTTCTTATGAGTAGACTAGGGGTATGGAGTTTTGGAAAGAATACCACAGAGGTGAGGTGCCTCTGTGCCGTCTCCTCCCATCCCAGCTGGGGGTGCACGAGATCCACGTGACAGGACGCTGACCGTCGTCACTTAGTGGAGGTGAAGCTCGTGTGTGCCAGGCTGCTCCACTATGAAGTTGCTCTCTTTCCCCCTCTATAATCTGTTGTTGGGAAGCATGTCCTAGATCTGGCCCACCCTTGCGGAAGGGGAGGGGAGGAGCAAACTTCACCTCCTGAAGTGGGAAGTCTATTATTTGGAATTCTTTCTGAGGAAAATTTGTCTCTTCACCCTCATTTATTTGTCTGTTCACTTGTTTATATCAATGTAAACTCGTGTATATTTATTTCATACTTTGGTTATAATTTGATGCTGTGTTATTAAGAAATATTTTTGAATGACAAAAAAATGAATGAACTTAAGCATCACATGAACTCTCTGAGGTTGGTACTGTTATGCCCACTTTACAGATCAGGAAACTGAGTCCTATTGTCAAAATGGCAGAGACAAGCTTGAATCCGACTGGGTCAAGCAGAGATCACACCACCTCACCTGGAGGCTTTATCTCTGCTGGATACCAAGCCAGCTCTTTCCTCGCTCTGGATTCAGAGTCCACACCATCCAGCCTCCCCACCCAGCAGGCTTCTGTTGGAGCCCTCATCCTGATTCTCTCTCTTTATGCATCTGGTGAGAAGACTCTCTCACCAGAACGTAGAACAGAATCACTTGGACCAGTTCCACGTAGTTGTCCTTTCTATCTCGTGAGTTCCTTCCCTGTCTAAGCCCCAAGCGTCCATTGTTTTGTGCTCTGTTAGCTCATATGGCACATGGCTTTACTGTTTGTAATGTGCTCTCACACACCATCTGGCCCTCACAGTGACCTTTGGAGGTAATGTTACCTCCAAAACAGTATGTTTCCCCTTCTGTACATGACGTCAATGAGCCTGAGAACCTTGCCCAAGGACCTGCTGCTGGGACATGGCAGATCTGGAAGGGCATGAAAAGCAGAAGGAAGAGCATGTGGAAGGTCTCAGAAGCAAGAGCCAGTATGAGACATTTGGACCAGTGCACACTGTTCCTTACAGAGTTGAGTGTTAGTGTGTAGAGTATTGGGGCCTCTTTAGATTGTCTGTTTCTTTTGATTCAGTCTTGGTAGGTTGTATTGTTTCTAGGAATGTATCCATTTCTTCTAGGCTATCCCATTTGTTGGCATATAATTGTTCATAGTCTTCTCTTATGATCCATGTATTTCTGGACTATCAGTTGTAATGTCTTATCTTTCATTTCTGATTTTATTTGAGTCTTCTCTCTTTTTTTCTCATTTAGACTAGCTAAAGATTTGTCTATTTTGTTTATCTCTTTGAAAAACCACTTCTTAGTTTTGTTGATTTATTCCATTGTTTCTCGGGTCTCTATTTCACTGATTTCCACTCTGATCTTTCTTATTTGCTTCTGTCTGCTAACTTTGGGCTTAGTTTGTTCTCCTTTTTCTACTTCCTTGAGATATAAAGTTAAGTTGTTTATTTGAGATCTTTCTGTTTTCCTAATATACACATTTATCCCTATAAAATTCCCTCTCAGAACTACTTTTGCAGCATCCCATAGGTTTTGACATGCTGTGTTTCCATTTTCATTTGTTTCAAGAAATTTTTGATTTTGCTTTTGATTTCTTCTTTGACCCATTGGTTGTTCAGGAGTGTGTTGCTTAATTTCTGTGTATTTTCAGATTTTCCAGTGTTCTTGTTGATTTCTCATTTCATACCATGATGGTCAGAAAAGTTGCTTGGTATGATTTCAGTCTTTTTAAACTTGCTAAGACTTGTTTTGTCTCCTATCATATAGTTTATCCTGGAGAAGCTTCCGTATGCACTTGAGAGGAATATGTATTCTGCTTCTCTTGGACGAAATGTTCTATAAATGCCTGTTAGGTTCATTTGGTCTAATGTTTGGTTCAAGTCAAATGTTTGCTTGTTGATTTTCTGTCTGGATGATCTATCCATTGCTAAAAGTGGGGTATTGAAGTCCCCTACTATTATTATATCATCGTGTGTTTCTCCCTTCAGATCTTTAGTATTTGCTAAAGGTATTTAAGTCCTTCGATGTTGCTTGTATATATATTTATGATTGTTATATGTTCTTGATAATTTGATTCCTTTATTATTATATAATAACCACCTTTGTTAGCATTTTTGGTTTAAAAGTTATTGTTTCTCAGCTTTTTGGCTAAGATCAAGTGTAGTATCTGTTCTTGCCAGTTTGAAGTCTATCTGTCAGATATAAGTAGAGCCATCCCCTCTTGCATGGAATATCTCTTTCCGTCCCTTCCCTTTGAGCCCATGTATGTCCTGAAGGCTGAAGTGAGTCTCTTGCAGGCAGCATACAATTGTCTTGGTTTTTTATCCATCCATCCACTCTGTGCCTTTTTATTGGTGAATTCAATCCACTTACATTTAGAGTGATTACTGATGTAGGACTTCCTAATGCCATCTTGTTAATTGTTTTCTGGTTATTTTGTATTCCCATTGTTTCTTTTTCCCACTGTTTCTGCCTACCTTTGTAAATCTGTGATTTTCTGTGGTGGAATGCTTCATTTCCCCATTCTTTATCTTTTGTGCATCTGCCCTAGGGCTTTGCTTTGTGGTTACCATGAGGCTGACATAGACATCTCATGAAAAAATAGTCCAATTTAAGCTGACAGCATCTTAACTTCAACTGCCTACAGAAGCTTCATCCCTTTACTCCCCCCTTCATACTTTGGATGTCATTTTTTACCTCTTTTTATGTTGTATATCTGTTAATACATTATAGTAGCTCTAATTATTTTTAGTAGTCTTTTCCTTTGACCTTTACACTGTAGTTAAGTGGTTAACAACCATCTGATTACTGATTTAGAGTTCTAAATTGGGTTGTCTATTTACCTTTACCAATGTGTTATAAACTTTCATATGTTGGCATCTTTTCATTTCAGCTGGGAGAACTCGTTTCAGTATTTCTTGCAAGGCAGGTCTAGTGGTCATGACGTCCCTCAGCTTTTGTTTAGGAAAATATTTATTTCTCCTCCATATCTAAGGATAACTTTGCTGGATAGAGTATTTGGCTGGCAGATTTTTCCTTTAAACACTTTGGGTATGTCATTCCGCTCTCTGCTGGACTGTAGGGTTCTGCTGGGAAATCCGCTGATAGTCTAGAGGGCCTTCTTTTGTAGCTTACCATCCTCTTTTTGCCTGGCTGCTTTTAGAATTCTTTCTTTAGCCTTGATTTTGACACTTTCATTATACTGTATCTTGGAGAAGGTCTTTCTGCATTGAGATAATAGGTTGATCTATTAGCTTTGTGAACTTGGATCTTATTGAAGTTAACCTAGTATTAAATTCAAGTGAAGGGTGTTATAACTTTAGGATGTTAAAAGTAATCCCCATGGTAACCACAAAGAAAATAGCTGTAGAATATACACAAAAGGAAATGAGAAAGGAATTTAAACATTTCACTATAAAATCAGCAAAAACAAAAGAAGACAGGAATGCAGGAAATGAGGGACCAAAAGGCAATAGGGCATCTAGAAAACACATAGCTTGATGACAGAAGTGAGTCCCTCCTTATCCGTAATTACTTTATATGTAAATGGATTAAACTCTCCAATCAAAAGACAGAGATTGGCAGAATGGATAAAAACACATGATCCAATGATGTGCTATCTACAAGAGACTCATTTGAGATCCAAAGACACAAAGAGGTTACAAGTGAAAGGATGGAAAAAGATATTCCATACAAATAGTAACCAAAAGAGAGCGGGGGGGGGGGGGGGGTGGCTATACTAATACCAGACAAAATAGACTTTAAATCAAAAATGCCTCAAAGACTTAAATGTAAGAGCTAAACTATACAAATCTCCAAGAAAAAAAGAGAATAAATCTTCATGGTCTTTCATTTGGCTCTAAATTCTTATGTATGATACCAAAAAGACAAGCAACAAAAGGAAAAATAAATAGGACTTTATAAAAATTAAAATCAAAGAACACCATCAAGAAAGGTATAATACAAGCTACAGAATGGAAGAAAATATTTGCAAATCATAGATCTGATAAGGTCTGTTATCCAGAATGTATAAAGAACACTGAGAACTCAATAATAAAACGTCAAACAACCAAATTTTCAAAAGGAAAGAAGCATTTGCCTAGGTATTGCTACAAAGAGGAGACACAGATTGCCAATAGGCACATGAAAATGTTCAAAATCGTGCATCAGGGAAATGCAGATCAAAACCACAGTGAGATTCCACTTCACACCTAGTAGTATGGATATAGTTTTTTTAAAAGCGAACAAGTATTTGCAATGATGTGGGGACACTGGAACCTTCACACATTGCTGGTGCAGATATACAAAAGAAAATCCTTTGGCACTTCCTCAACAAGCTAAGCACAGAGCTACCATATGGCCCAGAAATTCCACTCCTAGGTATATGCCCAGGAGAAATGAAAAACTTTGTTCACACAAAAACTTTATATGAGTGTTCACAGTAGCACTATTTATAGCAGCCAAAAAGTGGAAACAACCCAACTGTCCATAAACTGAGGAACAGAAAACCAAAATGTGTTATATCCATATACATGGATATTTTTCAGCCATAAAAACAGTGTAGTACTGATACGTGTTAGAACATGGATGTTACTTACCAAAAAAGGTCAGACACAAGAGGCAACGCATTGTCTGGTTCTGTGTGTATGAAATGTCCAGAACAGGAAAATTCATAGAGACAGAGAAGCCAGGGCTGGGGGCGGGGGCAGAGAGAGTGAGATTGACTGATCAGAGGTATGGGGTTTCTTTTGGGGGTGATGAAAATGTACAAGAATTAGAGATGATGATTGCAAAATCTGAAGATACTAAAAACCACCAAGTTGTATACTTAAGAAAAGGTGAATTTATGGAATGTGAATTATATCTCAATAAAAAAAAGAATATGACAACATTTTTATAGTGCATCTCTCCACGTGGTGCACTGAGTAAACTACAGTCATGACTCTTGAATCAACTTGATGGGACCCCCTCAGAGACTTCTGCAGAGCAGCTTGTGCGGGATGACATTTGAGACTCAACCCTGTTTGGCCAGAGCCCATCCTGATGCTGCTGAATGACGGCAGGGCCAGCGCGAATATTTTCTTCACTGAGGATCAACCCCCTTCTGTATCTTTCTTTGAGTCCATTATCATTTTCTTACCATATTCCAGAAGCAAGGTACCGGGAAATGCGTTCACCATAGTGAGAGCTGTTGACAGCTTCGTTGCAAAAGTATGAATAATTTATTATTAAAAAGTGTTAATTTGTTCCTAGGTCAAACTTCAGATCCTGTCACTAGCTGCCCGAGGAGCCACTTGAATCGAAGGAGGGCTTAGGAAGGTGGTTCTTGCAGTTTGGTGTGAACTTAGAACACCCAACAGACCATTGGCATGGCATAATCACTTTATGTAGATGAGACAAGCAGGAAGTCGGCACCACCGTGTCCAGGGGAGGGCGCTGCTACCTGGTGGCCTGAGGTCAATCTCATGTGAAAGCAATGTGAACCTGGAAGGTTACTGAGCCCTCTGCTTCTCAGTTCCCTGGTCTGGGATGTGGAAATGTTAACAGGACCTGCTTCTTAGCATTGTGTTATGACGCTAAAAATAAGTAAATACAAAGCCCAAAGAAAATGATTTGTGCGTAGATGCTCCCTCCATCAGTGCTCAAGTATTAAAGGCCCAGAAGGATCAGCAGGAGTGCAGTACTGGATGTCTCCAGAGGGAGCGCATGGAAGGCTGCGAAACAGGAGGCTGCAAACCTTCCTTGTCCACGCTGAAATCAGAGGTTTTGGAGCCCTTGGAAACAATCTGTTCTTTCCTCTGAGGCTCACGTCTGCGCTGTGGGGTGGGCAGAGTGGGAGCTGTGGCCCATCTTTAATGGTCCGGGGCACTGTAACGTAGAGGGAGTCAGTGACTTGCCCAGGGTCACAACACTGATGCATGATGGATCTGAGGTGGGGATCTGGATGGTTCCCTGGGAGAGAGGTCCCTGAGCTCATGCCCTGGACGCCGGGACCAAGAGCTCTCCTCACTCCTTCCCCACCTCCTCCTGCCCCAAGGCTGCTGCGGGGAGACAGTGGGCACCCCAAGGAGGTGCCTCATCCAAGAGAATGGCTCCCATCCTGACCCCATTCCTGGCTCTGTTCCAATCTCTGAGCTAAAATTCAATCCCTTGCCCCCAAATAAAGTCACCCTAATGGACCGAGGGGATCCAAACATGTGTCCGTCCACCCCTCACTTGCCCCCAGCCTGGATTCTGTCAGATCCTTGGAGTGAGACTTCCTGGGGGTCAGGTGGCCACGAATGATCAGTAGTCTGCATGACCCCCACCTGGGTGAGAACCCAGGACGGTCCACACCCACTGCCCACATGACGTTTGCACCAAGAATTAGCTTCCTCTTCAACTGGCCAAAGCTGGATGATGAGCAGTTAATAGTAACTGACTGGGAAAGGGGTCTGCTGGGCTGCAGCTTAGGTGGCTCGATGAATGGCGTCCACAGGCCCCCGGCGTCTTGCTGACTGGAGGTCTGACCAGCCATCTGAGCAGTGAGAGCGGGCAGGGGCTACACCAGGCTTGAGCGTGCCCCTTCCCCACCCGAGTCCTGCCTCACTAAGATCCAGGCTTTGCTCTACACACGACAAGCATTACTCTTGAATCTACTCACTGGTACTGTTTCCACAGGACCTTCTGTGGAGTGGTCAGGGGGGTGATATTTGTGGCTCTACCCTGTCGTTTGGCCGGATGCCCATTTTGATGTGCTCAACCACTGCCGGCGATGGCCAGTAGGTTTCCTTGACCACAGGTGATTTTCTTGTGCATCTTATATTTGAATCCCCTATGATCTTCATTTTCTTTTTGTAACCCGAGACATGATTTTGGGAAGTACACTAAAAATGGAGACAACTGTTGATATGTTGCTGGCTGCAGACACGCATGGAGGAGGACTCCCTGAGGTGGCTCCGTGGGACCCAGAAGGCAGCTAAACATGGGCCTCTCTCGCATGTAAGCAAGTGCAAGCTTTATTCCTAGTCCAGGATTTGGGATTTGGGTGAGGAGAGGAGACCAGAAACATGCTCAACATTATGCTTTCCCCGCTCACTTCTCCAGAAGGCTCCGGGAGCCTGTGCAGGAGGCTAAGAGGAAACATTCTCCATGTCACTCACCCTGAGAGCGCCCTTCAAGCCAGGAGTGAGCAGAGGACAGAACACAACAGTGCTGCTGCAGGAGCTGAACATGTGGAGGGAGAGGGGCCCTTCTCGCCACCTGCTGACACACGGAGAGCACACTTGAAGCCACAGACACGCTCCTACTCTCATGTCATTAACACGTGAAAGAGCACAGCAAGCCATCACATGTATTTCCTTCTTTCTCATTTCATGCCCCTCTTCCTCCGTCTCCAGAGCAGTGGGTGTAACCCGACTGCCCCGGGCTCCCGCTCCCATTGGATGCCAGCTGAGTGATGTTCCCACTTGGAGAGTCCTCCTCCTCGCTGTGGGAGTCACACCCCCTGTCAACCATCCAATCTTCAGAGACACAGACATCAGCAAGAAAGTGATTGCAAGGAGGGGCTCACCCACTCCTTCCACTCCACTCGAGGCCCTGATGGCTCCCACAGCCTCACCCTGCTCTTTGCTCTTGGCTCTCAGACCTTCCCTGGGCTCCGTGAGTCAGAATCCTTCAAGGAGACATTGGTCACAGTTGCAAACCCTCAAATGAGAGAGGGGACCCCCTTCCACTTCTCACTCCTCATTCCACTGGATCGGGATAGCTCCAGCCTCCAATGGGATCAACCTGAGCCTCCACCTGAGATGCACACACTCGGGTTAAATGAGTTCAGCGAGCAGACCCTGCGCCAGGCTCAGAGCAGCTGCCCAAGAGGATGTTCTGTGCAGATGGAAATGTTCTGTGCTGTAAACGTTGGCTACTGGGCACTTGAAATGTGGCTGTGTGATGAGGGACCGATGCTTAATTTGATTTGCTCTAATTAAGTTAAACATGAACACGCCCGTCTCCCTAGAGGTACCACACTGGATAACACGACTCCAGAATCCAAAGATGAGGACGACACAACCCCCCGCCCCTGGTTGCTCCTGCAGAGCAGTCTGTGGCCTGATCCGACCATTCACTTGTAGGTTCTTCTGGGCACATGCGCACAGGCCAGCCACTACATGAGGCCCTGGGGACACTCAAACAGTAAGGTCAACGCCAGCTCCTAGAGGATTCCCGCAGGGGCCCACCTGTAAGCAGAGGTGCAGAGCATGCTGGGCACACCTGTGCTGGCCATAGAGCGTGAGGTGGGGGAGGGACACTTCACTGTCTTCTGGAGCCCCCTTCTCACCCCTGATCTGGACTGGAGCTTGGGCAGGCACCTAGCTCAGTGTGGGGCCCAACAGGCCTGGACCAGCTGAGGGGAGCCATTCCCACACTTGAACCAGGTCCCAGCCCAGGGCTGTATCATCAGATGTTTATTGGGGCCTGAGAGTTGTTGTCGAGGGCTGAGCGCTGGGGTGAGAAGGGATGAGGAAGACACAGGGGTGCCCGCACAGTGACCTCCATGGCCAGGACTCCTGTCCCCGCAAGTGAGAGGATACATACAGTCTGGGCCTGAGAGTCCCGGGGCCTTTCAGAGAAACGCTCACACTGACGACCTCCTGGCCATGGAAGGAAGAGCAAGGACCACCTCCACCTGGGATCAGCCCCCATCTCTTTGCTGACCTCACCCTGCCCTGGAGCCCATGCCCCTCTCACCTCCTCTGCTGCTAGAATGTTCTACAGCAGCCCTGGCCAAGTGGTGTGAGATTTCTTCAGTTTAAATGTGTTCCTGGGCCAGACAACCTTTGGGAACAGTGTGCAGACAAGGACTGGTTGTCAGGTGACTTCCAGAAACAGGTGAAAAATAGAAACTGGTCCCTCCAGGCCCCAGGGGCACAGGCCTGGGAACCCCCCCTGTCTGTGGCGCCCCTGTGCTTCCATCCCTGCTGAGCCACCTCCTAGCCAATCCCAGCCAGAGCCAGAATCAGGCTGCTCTCCACGCTAAAGCCGGCATGTTTTTTCCTCAGCAAGTGAGAGATTCCAGAATATATCCCACTTCTTCTTGTTCCTGAGGCCACCTGCGATTACAGAGGAGAAAACACTGGGGATCAGGCCACAACGGGTATTGTTTGCACAGCTTGTCCATTCTCTTTGTGACCTTGGGAAACCACGTGGGAAACCAGGGTCAAGTCAAAGGCCTCAAAGCAGGTGCAGAGGACGCCTCTGGTGTGTCTCTCCAGTCCATCCTGGTGGCAATGACAAAATTCTTAAGCCAAGGAGAAAGACTGCTGCTGAGCCAAAGGCCCCCAGCATCCAGTGTATGACGGAGGCTGTCACTTGTAGGTATCCTCTTGGATCAGAGGTCAGCTGGTAAGAGACTCTCACTCAACACTCCCCCCACCATGGAAATTGTATGTATCACCCCTAACATGCATGGTCAGGTTTTCATATGTGAATTTGATTGTAAAGGAAAGAAACCAAGAAAGCAGCATTTCTATTTCAGACAAAGAAAGTGACCTTATCTTGGCAACAGATGGGGCCTCTTCCTCTGCCCTGTCCCAGGGAAGCTCCTCCAGCAGGCACTCGGGGGATCTCGGAGGGCGCAGTCACTGTCAGTCATTGGTGGTGCAGCTCAGGAATTACTCAGGGAGCTTTGCTTGATGTGGACATGGGGCCAACATGTATAGAGGTAGTTGGTCAACAAGCACAGACTGAGGTGCTGCTGGATGAAGGAAGGCAAAGGGGAGGAGGAAGAAAGAAGTGAGAAACAGAGTCCTTGGCCTTGCAGCTAAAGGCAACCTTAAGCAAGGAGAATTAGTCAGTCTACAAGTGGTTCTAAACCACACGCTGTGATCGAGTGGCAGAGTCCCATCGCCCCTCCTCCCTGTGGTGGAGCTCATCTCATTGCCATGATCTTGGCCTCTTCTAAGACCTTCTCAGTCTCCATGGAAATGATGTCACTACTGCATTTATTGTCTGCTGTGTGGGATTTCTGACTTGATTAAAAGCAGACCTTTATTGGTGGAATAGATTTAATTACAGACAATACATTCTATTGTACTTGTTCACTAATTCTTTGTCATAAAGATACCCAAACATGGAAGACATTTGATGGAAATACTGAAATACTGCCATTTAAAAGTAATCATTATTAGTCATGTTATTTTTACTTCCAGTCTTGCTTTTCTTTGTTACGTGTGGCTGTCTTGCTCCGGTGGCAGTGCAGTGGTGGCTCATCGTGAGGGGTGGGGTATGGGGTGAGCACAGATGCTCGCTAACCCAGCTGCACCAGAGTTGCAACAAGGGTGATGGGCACCAGGCTAACAACCAAATGGCACTTTGAGTTCTGATTTGTCACGTTCCCAGAGTGTGTAGCTCACAGGATTTCAGAATTTTTAGGGCTCCTGGTGATAATGTTGCCAAATACACTAAATTAACTCACTGCTTCTTACCTGCTTTTGGGCCAGCTGCCAAGGAGTGACCCAGAACTGACAGAGGGTGACCTGGTTGTCCTACATGGTGCCTTCCACACTCAGAATCTGTGAGCTGACCAGGAGCATGTGGACTTTCTCTGTGCTTTTCACACTAATGACAATGCCAAAGTCTACATAAAATGCACCTACAGCTACCGTTGGCAAAGCAGCCATCTCCAGACCTGCGGCCTCTGGGATCACCCAGTTGGGGCACTGGGACTGGAACGTTCCACTATACAGAAGCCAGGTGCATAGCTGTTGCTTGGTCCCAGATTCTTCTTCCTTATTAGGAGAACTTTTCCCCTGTTCTGGGTACACAGTGAACTTCCTTGTGTCGCTTAAATGTGTGGTCATAGGGCACCTGGGCAGCCCCCCGAGTGCGTATACCCCCGAGTGCATATACCCCCTTGGGAAGGGAACAAGGTCTTGGCCTGCAGCATGAGAGGAGTGGGTGCAGCCCACTACCTTGTGACGGCCCTCGGAAGGGACCGCTGGCCATAGGAGACCAGCACACGCTACAGATGCTGAAGGTGCTGTGTCGCTTCTCCTTCTGTGAGTAAAACTTGTTCCAGCCTGCGCCGTGTGTGCTGACCCTCCTTGGTGACTCTGAACCCGTAGCAGATGCAGCGGGCCGAGGTCTGTCATCTCCTACTTCTGGGGTTGGCATCGTTAGGATCTTTGCCATCCTGCACGCACTGGGAATCCTCACTCAGTGTTGGTAGCTGGGCCTTCCTGCTTGATAGCTACCTTGGTTTATGTGACCACTGAGGCTACCTTATATGATGACAGTGTTTGGGGTCTCTGACAGCTAGTTCTAGGCATACACACAGACACTGGGGCTTCCTGTAGGGTGACTGATGGTTCCATCGATGAGTGATAGGTGGTCAGGAGTCCAGACCATCTGCACTGGGGCCATACACCTGGTCCATATTTTGTCTCTTCCACGAGTCTGAGACTTGGGCACATTCATATCTGCACCTCAGTTTCTCCGACTGAGGAGTGGGGATACTGGGAAAACCTTCAGGTTTCTGTGTGGTGAGTGCTGAGTGAATTAATGTATGTACAGAATACAGCGGTGATGGTCAGCCTCCCTCCTTCCCTCCCTGCATTCCCTTCCTTCCCATTGGAGAACATTAACACTGGCAATTGTGCTGCATAAGTGAGACATATCTCCTGAGGAAACACACACACTCACCCCCTCCACACACACATTCACCGTTACGCCACTTAGACCCACCCAGAGACACCCCTCAATATGCATGCACACATCCCCACACCACCGAAAGGGAAAACAGCCATCCTCAGGGACTGTTGAACACAGAAATATAAGTTTCTTTCACCACTGCAAATCCTCTTTCCCATCAGGAAGCTGGAATCGGGATGGCTTTGCAGACCAAAGCCAGCAAAAAAGCTTCACCTTCCTCAGTATCTAGATTTTATCCTTAGCAGTTCACTGATTCCAGAATACCTACCATTTCACTGCTTTTGAGGCCACTTGCAATAACAGAAAACTTACGTCAAGTTCGCCATATCCGTGGCACAAGGAAATGACTTTGGGAAACAGTGTCCGTGACCAACACAAAATATCTCAAGAGTAGTCAGCTGTTTGGTAGGGAAATGAGAGGAGTATAGTTCAGTGGAAGGCAAGACCAGAGAATTAACGGAGAAAGAAGTGACCAACTGTGTCAAATTATCGCAGGAAAAATATGATGTCCATAGAACCTGCAGCATTGTTGACCTAGGTGAGCACAGGTTGAGTGAAATGTTTGGAAAATTGCCCTTATAGTAATGGTTATAGCACATTCGCTTTCCAGCTCCAGAAGTTACCCACGCCTCTATCCTTTTCTTTACTGCATTCAAATTTATCTTCTGCATTACGTGAGTTTTAAGCTCCTAACATTTAGTCAACAAGTCAGTCACATCCATTCAAAATGTTTATTTCAATCATGAACTCAGTAAGACATAAGGTAACACTTTGGAGCAGAACAAACAAAAAATGCTGGCATTTTATTTGAAATTCAAGAAAGTGGTCTAGGAAAGAAAAGTTGAACGAAGTCTCAAGGAGTATGTCTATTTACTATATGTACTATTTAGCATGTAACATTTTAAAAGTAGCTTTTGACTATTAAAATTCTGATCTATGATCCAAGAGGAGTTTTTCTTCCCTACATATTATAATGTGTGAACGCAAGAGAAACCTCATTAACCACAGGGCACATTATTTTGCCTGTATACAAATTTTTTGAACACATATACTCATATTTCCTCCCCAGATAGTCCTGGAAGAATTGCTATGGATACCTCAGAGTGTAAATAGTCAGGGGTCCTTGATCACCATTCAGTGAGTCTAAAAAGGCAAAGAATAGATGCAGTGAATCAAAAGTAGATATTTGAGTGACTGGAAAATATGAGATACATTGCTAATATTGAGAAAGGAAAGGTTTCCAATATCCAGATCCAGGAAAATCTCTGCTAGGTGGAATTTGGGGTCCATGTGAGTGGCTGATCCAGGCCTAGCACCGGGAAAGAAGTGCTTTCTATTTCTCAAACTCACTGTCCAGAATCCAAGGTCTGTAGACAGTTAGACTTTCCTTTGCCAGTGAACAGATTATTTGCAAATGCCCAGATTCCATCCTTTGCATGTTCCCACATCCACTTCTCAATAATGATGTCCAGAGGTGAACCCAGGGGAGCCCAGGACCCAAAATGAGTAACTAAATCTTGTAGCGTACTCTCTCTGAGTCTATTTGGAATTCCAATATTGGACACTCCTCAGATGATCAAAATGACTTGAGGGATCTCACATCCCCCTTCCAGGACCCTTATTGACAAAGGAAAAGCTGTTGCCCCTAAGAGGTACACCCCCTTCTTAGATCTGCATACTCTTCATCTCATCCCCAGCCCAGTGCCTGGTAACCTCAAGGCTGTCAAAAAACAGTTTGAATGAGGAAAAGAAGAGATGGATGGGTGGATGATGTGGTGCATGGGTGAACAATGGATGGATGGATGGATGGGTCGGATGTGTCGATGGGTGGATGGATGAGTGAGTGGATTGGTGGGTGGGTGAGGGGTGGATGGTTAGTTGGCTGGGTGGGTGAATGATGGGCAGATATGTGGATGATTGATGGATGTGTGAATGGATGAATGGATGGCTGGCTGGATGGGTAGATGAGTGAGTGGATTGGTGGGTTCACAGGTAGGTTAGTAGTTGGATGAAGAAATGGATGGATGGATAGTTGGGTGGGTGGGCAGATCCTAACCATGAAAAACACAAAACTTTGCTGCCTGGACACTCTATGGAGAGTGACTGAACCCAAAATTTAGTCCCAATCCCAGCTCTGATCCTGACTTGGTGTGACCTTGGGCCATTTCCTTAATGTCTCTAAGCCTAGTCCTCTGACAGGCAAAGAAGATGTTGACCCCTGCCCTGCCCACCTCACAAACTGCTGGGAAGGATACTGAAAGGACCAACCTGCATGAAGATGCTTTAGAAACCCTAGAGGACTTCTCAGGTGCACTTAGTGTTGGAAGGACCTTGTGGGTCATTGAGCTGACTCCCCCTGGAGTTGGAATAGAGCTTGTGGTAAGAGCCTGAGCTTGGAGCCCAGACAGACCTGGGTTCTAGTCTTGGCTCTATCAGTTTCCAAGTGTGTGATCTTGGGCAGGTGACTTAGACCATATACTAATATCAGACAAAATAGTTTAAGACAAAAATTATTATAAGAGACAAATACATTATATACTGATAAATGGGTCAATCCTCAAGAAGATATGACAATTAACACACATGCATCTAACTACAGAGCCCCAAAATATATGAAGAAAGAACTGACAGAATTGAAAGGAGAGGTAGATAGTTCTACAACAATAGTTGGAGAATTCAATACTCCGCTCTGAATAATAGAACATCTAGACAAGGGATTAATAAGGAGATAGAGGAGCTGAATAATACTATAATACACACCAAATAGTACACATAACTATATACCTAGCAAGAATCTATAGAGCACTCTATCCAACAGTAGAATACACATTTTTCTCAAGTGCACATGGAACATTCTCCAGAATGGACTATATGTCTATTTATAAAATAAATCTCTTTAATTTAAAGGAATTGAAATAATACAAAGTATCTTCTCTGATTGCAATGGAATAAAACTAGAAATCAATAGCAGAAGGAAATTTGGTGAATATATAGACTTGTGGAAACTAAACAACATACTCCTAAATGATCAATGAGTCAAAGGAAAAATTACAAGTGATATTAGAAAACACTTGGAAATGAATGAAAATAAAAACATAACATACCATTCTGTGAAAGCAGTGCTCAGAAGGAAATGTAATATAATTGCCTACATTAAAAAAAGAAAGATTCTCGAAGCTACAGTAATCAAAACAGTGTGGTACTGGCATAAAGACAGAAATATAAACCAAGCAAATACAACAGAGGGCCCAGAAGTAAACCTTCACATAAAGATCAAACACTCTTCAACAAAGGTGCCAAGACTACTCAGTGGGGAAAAGACAGTCTCTTCAACAAATGGTGCTGAGAAAACTGGATATCCACATGCAAAAGAATGAAGATGGACCCTTGTCTTACACCATATACATATACACTATATACAAAACGGACCTGAGACTTAAACGTAAGACCCAGACTCTCAAAAGAAAACTTAGGGGAAGCTTCATGACATTGGATTTGGCAAGGATTTCTTCGATGTGCCACCAAAAGGACAGGTAAAAATAGACAAATAGATCTACATCAAACTTAAAAACTTCTGTGCAT